ACGTAACGCTCGTCTCTTTTGCGAATAATGTCTCTTGCAGGACAATTTCTTTCAATGTGTTGTGTGACTTATGAGTCAAGACACGGTACGTGATTTGTTTACTGTCCTACTTTATTTTTAGGACGCACAAAAACTATGCTCGTCCGGTATAATTGTTCCACAATCGAGTCCAATAAAAAATATCGAGCATCAATAATTTTCTCTGCCCCACTTTTTTTTTTTTTTTTCTCTCTGCCCCACTTTAGTCACTACCTTGGTGATGTATGAACTATGAACACTGCAGACGCATTCAATGTTTGACAAATAACCGTCAGCCGTTCATTTTTGACAATTTGGCAGCGGGGCTGGTGAATAGTCAGGAAGACATTTTCTAAAATAAATACCACACACATTCTATCAGGCCTAAACTAACTTTCTTCACCCTCTAAACAATTAGTCATGGAAGTTTTAGCTCTAGCCCTTGTTATATTCACTTTTTCAATCACCATTTTCGGCTTCAGGCGCTGGTCAGACCGCGATACCAAGCTTCCGCCCGGTAGCTTCGGTTGGCCCGTGGTCGGAGAAACTATACAATTTTTGTTCGGCAAGCCGGAAAAGTTTGTTGGCGATAGAATGAAAAAGTATTCTCCGGACATTTTCAAGACGAAGATACTTGGAGAGAAAACTGCTGTTATTTGTGGGCCAAATGGTCACAAGTTTCTGTTCTCTAATGAACAAAAGTACTTTGCTGCATTTCGTCCTCACCCAATGCAATACATCTTCCGTTCATACCAAACCAAAGCGCCTGCTGCAAAGCCCCCAGAAGTGCCGCGCGACGAGACTAAAGTTTTGCGGCAGCCTGGATTTCTTAAGCCCGAAGCCTTGATCCGATTCTTGGGTAATTTCGTCTTAACATGCTTGCTCTTATAACAAAATTTGTCGTCAGTAGCTGAACTTTCCATGTTAAACCACTTCGTCTAAAACTAAATTTTCGTTTTCAACAGGTAAAATGGACTCGATGACACAACTACAATTGCAAACTCACTGGGAAGGCAAGGATGTCGTCAAAGCCTACCCACTTGCCAAGACCATAACTCTAGCACTCGCTTGCCGATTCTTTATGGGCACGGACAACCCGGACCGCATCGCTAGACTCGTTCAACACTTCGACGATATTACTGTCGGTATGCATTCGATCATGTTAAACATTCCAGGGACCATATTTCATCGTGCAAACAAAGCTGCGGCCGCCATTCGTACGGAACTCATGAGCGTGATCAAGGAGAAGAAAGATGCAATGGAATCAGGGGTTAAAATGCAAGATATTTTGTCCCATATGATTGTTATAACTGATTCCAGTGGAAAATTCATGCCTGAGGCTGAAATTGCTGATAAAGTAATGGGATTGCTTGTTGCTGGATATAGTACAGTTGCAACTACAATAACTTTCTTGATGAAATATGTTGGCTTAAATCCAGACGTCTATGAAATGATCCGAGCTGGTAATCATCTTTAACCCCATAATTATCTCATTAAGTACTTGTGTTGAGCCACACGGTGAGAGACAGACTTTGTTCAATCCATCCATATAGTCTACTAGATTTTCAGTATATTTTAATAAAAAATGATGAAATGCGTAGTTGATAAAATTTATACATCTCTGCGTGGTTGAAAATGAATTTGAGAAAATATGAATTTTAGAAAATGAGGCCAAACAAGGCGTTGTCATGCTTTCCCTGGAGTAAAATGGCCAGTAGTCTGTATAGGGAAGTGGGTGGAAATTTTTGTAGATGGGCCTTGCTATAGTTACCGGGGGGGTTGTTAACCCCCCCCCCCCGGTACATTTATCATTCCCCTAAATAAAGTCGCTACAAGAATTTATAGAGAATTTGTTGGAGCAAACTGGGTAAATGAAAGTACTAAAGTTAGATTAGAAGAAATAGAGGATGCTAAAAACAGAATGGAACATTTACACATTTGTAATATGTGTTACCTNCCCCACTGCTGTGAGGGGCCGGTCAGGGGGGTTGTCAACCCCCCCGGTACATTTATCATTCCCCTTTGTGGATAGAGTCATAGAGATGTTCCGTCTAATCTACAATGCAACAATTTTTAAGATTGAAATTATTTTGTACTAGAATAAGTAGACCCACATGAATTCGTCTCATTAACCACTTGCATAATGGACTATGAAGTTTAGGACATGTTTGATGTTGATTTTGTGAAAAATATATTTTTTTTTTTGAATAATGTGAGGCCAATATAAAAAAAAAAGGCTATAGGTTTATGTATTGAATGAATACGTGATTAAAAATAAATTTAAAAAAAGGAGTTTTAAAAAATCTGCACCTAAGAGTTGCCTATATAAAAACAATGTTTGAAAGAGGACATCCCAACCACTAAGCTGATATCAAATATTTTCTATCACGTCCATGTCGAGTAATTTATTAAAATGTGTTGTGTCTTCTAATCTGTAAAATGCAGAGCAAATGGAAATAGCATCATCCAAGAAGGCAGGCGAATTGTTAGAATGGGAAGACATGCAAAAAATGAGGTATTCTTGGAATGTAATATGTGAAACAATGAGACTGGTTCCACCACTTCAAGGCACATTCAGACAAGTTCTGACTGAATTTACCTATGCTGGCTACACAGTGCCAAAGGGTTGGAAGGTAAATATTAAATTCACGCGTATATTTTATATTTATTGCGGTAAAAAGTAGTTTAGCACATTAAAAATGCTGACACCTTTCACATTAATGCTTTCCTGCATGGCTTGACACATAGACACTTTTTTCATAAATGGATCACGACAAAATTTAAATCTAATTCATCGAATCTTGGACGTGATACCAGGATACTATTTATTTTCATAAATGGATCACTTTGGTTGTTAAATTTCATTTTATTTTTAAGTTTAGTCATTAAAATAAATATTTATTTCAAGTTGGTCACTCGATAAATATTAATTAGTTTGTCTAACATTACTGAAGACTTGGTTTTTAATAGCCAATTTAAAACAAATGTTCAAATAAAAAACTACACTCGGTTATAATTCCCATGTAACAGCTTATACAATTTCATTTTTTTAATTTAATATGTATTCTCGATATTGATATGTTTGCTCTGTAGGTGTATTGGACGGTGAGCACAACAAACATGGACCCAAAATATTTTCGAGATCCTCAAAAATTTGATCCTTCAAGATATGAAAACGGTGAAGCCCATGCTCCATACACTTATGTTCCATTTGGAGGAGGGCCGAGAACTTGTCCTGGAAAAGAGTATGCTCGGCTAGCCATACTTGCTTTCATACATAATTTGGTGAAGTATTACAAGTGGGAAGTAATGGATCCTCTTGAGAAGGTCAATGGTGATATGATGCCTACACCGGAGAAAGGTCTTCCAATCCGTCTTCATCGCATCTAGTAGTTAGGTGCATATAAAATTAGATTTGTCGAAGAAGTGAATAAAATGTAGATGTATTTTATCTTTTATTTCTTAGTTACATTTGTATTATCACTTATAATTTATATCATACTGTTTCAGCTTTCAAAAAAGATGTAATGAGAAGAGGGGATGCACCTAACTCTTTAAATAAAATTCAATTACAGTAAGGAGAAGCATCAAAATAAAGAATTTTTTTGTTTTTTTTAAGAAATAAGACATGCTCTAAATGTGGATGGATTTAGTTTCGTGAAGTCAATCGTTCCAAACATATTGTAAATGTGATTGTCAATTTTGTGTTTATTATAATGCATAAAGTAGAGTTAGCTTAAGCAATAGACAATTAGGTGATCACCAATGATATCGTAATGAATAATTTTAATTGAATCACGGATATGTATTAACTTTAATAAGAATAGTCAAATTGTCGCCATCATCCCAATAGCATTACTGTCAATATTGTTGACGCGCTGTGGGTTGGTGATTACCAACGGTAATGTTGTCGATAATTGTATTTGTACCACTAACTGTCACGCCGTGGACGATCGCCATAAGAATTTTAGTCGATGAACATTTGCACCATTAGGCCCTGTTTGATGGACCATTTTTTCTTAGGAAAAAAGAAATCAATTTTCAACTTTGCCAAAATGTAGTGTTTGACGCGCCCATTTGGTGAGAAAGCCTTTTCCAGGTCTGACGTCTTTTTCTTTTTCTTTTTTTTTTTTGCAATGAAAACAAATTTCATAATCAATTTTTAAAAAAAAATCACTTTATTAGACAATTTTCATGTAAAACAAAACAAAACGAACATTAAGGCCGTGTTTGATTGGGTTTTTTTCCATAGTATTTTCCATTTTCCCACTTTTGTGCTATTTGACAGCACAAATTTTCCAAGAAAAATGTTTTCCTTCCCACCCCTTCACGCGCCCATTTTTCACTTTTTGGCTAAAAATNTAATTAATTGTGGAAAAAATTATCACTTTAATGGACAATTTTCATATAAAACAAAACCAAACGAACACAATTTAAAAATTTTCCAGGTGGAAAATTATAACAATCAAATACACTTAATTAACAATTCTCTACAAAACAATTTTGAGGTAATTACTTTCCCTGAAATTCATTTTCTTTCCATCCAATTTCCATCATTCCAATCAAACGGACCCTTATTTTTTTTATATTGTTTTCGAAAGGATATCCTAAGGCTCCATATTGCTTGAACCTCTTCTAGTATAAAAAAAATATATAAGCATAATATAAATGTGATTTGTTCATTTTGTGTTCATAGTTATAGTGTAAAGAATATATAAGCATGATATACATACATATCAATTTTTTTTTTTTAATGAAATAAGTCATCCTAATTCTAAATAGTGTTCTAAAAAACTCGTCCATGTTCGAAGCTCGAAACAAAACGTCTTGTTTCACGTTTAGATGCTTTTTTTTTTCGAATTCCTAAACCGTTAAATTTTTTCATTCATCTCTTTCGTCATTCCTAAGCGCACTTTATTTGTTTTTTTTTCTTTTTTTAGAAGTCTTTTATTTCACTTTAACATATTAATTTTTAATTTTTAGAAAACTTTTAATTTGACTTTAATTTCAAGTTTTTTTAAAAAAATTATCTATATAAAAATTAAAAATAATTGTATCTAAATAGTTAAAGTCGATTTAAAGTATGGTGATATATACATTATGTAATTGTGATTTCAAAATTCGTTACTTTGTTGCAAACTCCAAAGACATGTATAAAGTTCTTATAAATAGACTGAGTATGACTTATCTAGTTGAAAATTAAAAGTATGAAAAATATTTTATTTTTTGCATTTCGAAAACTTCTCGCTTAGTCTCGTAAATGTTGAAGCTTTGCTTCCACGCCCAACCACGCTTTACGTTTTTTAGAACACCGATTCTAAATAATAGTGATACAAGAATTTTCTAGAATTATATTTTTGAATAAACTTTTGACAACGTGTCTTCTCCTGTATATTATTTTTTGAATTCTTTTTTTATCAAGAAGAGTTGGTGGGATGTGATTTTTTTTTATTAAATATTACAAGACTACCAATTCCACACGGAGCAAAGTCAAAAAGACAATGTTTCAATAATTATATTTAAATTTGCTATTTTCAATTACAAGATGCTTATCTTATTTTTAAGCTCACGCAAACATGAAATCTTGTTTAGCTAATAAATAATCATATCAAATTTCTATTAAAATATGAAGAGGATACGAGTATAACAAAAGTGTTTGGTGTAAATTAAAATCAGATTTTAAGTGGATTCTGATAGAAGTGATTGAAATGTGTGGTTGAAAAGATGTGGGACACATGAAAGATGTGGTTGATATTGATTGTTTGACTTAAACGTAGATTAAAATCAGATTAAAATCTCACCCAAACAGGTACAATGATCAATTTTCATCTATTATTATTTTACGGAACATACATGCATACACAAGCCATCTTATATCAAAAATATACGAAACGATTAACTTGGCCTCTCGAATTGAGATTGATAAACTCTCATAATCCCTCAAATCGTATTTAACGACTCGTACAAATTCATTGCATCTAAAGCACACAAATCTTTATGTTTAAACAAATAATAGGATATTAAAGTTATCCATTTTCAAATCTACTTGTGAGCATAGCAAACATGAGATTTACGTTTGGCGAGTAATGAGAAAAGGGGAAGCACCTATCTTTTTCATAAATTCAATTTGAGTAACTCTTTTTCTTATTAATGTCATGTATTTCAAACGAGTCTATGAAAAGATTAGTTGTTTTAAGAAAAATTAAACACATGAGCAAACTAGGTGTGGAGTGATAGTCTGATAGACTAGAGATGAGCAAACTAGGTTTAGAAAAAGAGACGTGAAGGAAAAATGAGATTACATATTAGTTCATACCCTATTGGCAGGATTCCAAATAAATTGAAAAGTATGTTTATTTTCTAGAAATAAGTGCACCGACATGCTCAACGTGGGGCATATTTAGGCTATGTTTAATTTTGATAAAAAATCAAAATTTTAGTGTTATGGAAGAGCTGCCTGAGGTAAGAAAGATACAAGAAGCAAGGGGAGGAAACCAGCAGGAAAACCAGAAGAAAGGGATGAAGAAGAAGAGAAACAGAATTAACGACAAATTGAATGGGGACGACATCAATGTCGTTTTGATATGCTAATTCTAATTCAATTGTAATAATTATCAAAAAAGTTTTTATTCTTCCTGTGGGGAACACGCTTCTTCCTCAGCTGGGTATATATGTATGCTTGTGTATACTCAGCAGATTCACGTGAAATTTGTTATGAAATTCGGTTAGTAGTGGATTGAAACATTTGAAGAAGTTGGACTTCAAAGTGGCTGATCTGGGTACAAGCTTCAAGGTGGTTACTGGCCGATTGGAAAATAAATTGGAATCCACTGACCAAACACTTCAGGTGTTGAGTGGTAGGCAAGAGAAAATCGAAGATGCTGTGATGGATTTGAACAAGAAGTACGAGAAGGTTGTTGCATTCATGGCCCAAATTTCAACTGATTTGAAAGCCAACCAGAAGAACAAAGGGATGGAAGAATCTATGGGCGATTTAAAGTTTGGGAGTGAGACCTACACACTAGGAGGCAGCAGTATGGAGGCTAGTGTTATCTCCAGAGGCGAACTAAAGGGGAACATTAGGCTGCCTAAGATAGATTTCCCTCACTTCGGCGGGGAAGGACCTAGGGAGTGGTTGAGGAAAGCCAGGAAGTATTTCCAATTGCATCAAATCCCAGATGAATTGTGAGTTGGAGTGGCAGAAATGTATCTTAAAGAGAAGGCTGATATCTGGTTCGATGGATTCATCGCCAATCACCCAGGGGCTAGTTGGAACTTGTTCTCAGAAGCATGTGCAAGAGATTCTTAGAAACCACTGGAGAGGAAGTGGTAGAGATTTTCAGCAAAATCAAACAGCTGGGGTCTATTGAGGGATATCAAGAGAAGTTTGAAGAACTTAAATCATAGGTGATGTTAGCCCTGCCACATGTCCCTGAATCATATTACATTGCTGTGTTTACAAGTGGATTGAGAGGAGAGATTAAATCTATGGTGAAGATGATGAAACCAAACACCTTAGCCAAAGCTTTTGAGGTAGCTAGTCTGCAGGAATAGACTATCCAAGCCCTAAAAAAATACCAAAAACCTAAGAGTTTTACCCTTAACAAATGGAACCCTTACCCCCCAAAACCACCTGAAGAAAACAAAACCAGAGAACCATGGCCAAAGACGAGTAAACCACTGAATAGCTATAAAACTATCACTCATACTGACTTTCAAACCAAGAGAAACTGGGGTTGTGTTACAAGTGCGATGAGAAATACACTACAGAGCATGTTTGTAAGAATAGAGCCTTGAACTTTATATTGGTAGATGAGGAGAGTGATAGTGAAGGTAGAGAGGGAAAGGAGGATGAAACAGATGAAGATGAGGTAATGGAGATATTAATCAGTGCCTTGGCTGGAAACCCAAGACACCAAACCATCAGAATACCAGGAATTTTGACAGGAAAGAAGATATCTATTCTAATAGATAGTGGCAGCACTCATAGTTTCATAGATGAGAAACTGGCCAAAGAGTTGGGCTATCCTATAGAAAGTTCTAAAACTATGACAGTAAGGGTGGCAAACGATGAGAAACTGGAGAGTAAAACTGTGATTTCCTCACTGGTTTGTAAGGTACACCACTGGGAGTTCCAATATAGAATGGGGACCTTAAAACTTGGGGACAATGATATAGTGCTAGGTGTTAATTGGATGAGTCAATTTGGACCTATCTTGTTCGACTTCAAGCAAGGATATGTCTAATTCAAACACCAACAGGAGGAAATCACACTAAGGAGTGAGAACACAGAACATCAAGTTAGGATGATGGAGGTAGAAGAGATGCGAAGTTTATTCAAGGGGCAACACTATAGGGTAGTTGGGCAGTTGTATTCCATTACTGAGAAGGGAGGGGAAGAGATTCTAAACCAAGTCATGGATGTTGTCAATCAATTTTCTAGAGTCTTTGAAGAACCAAAAGGACTGCCACCCCCTCGATCCCATGATCACCATATCCCTTTGAAGGAGGGTGCCCAACCCTTCAAATCAGGCTATACAGATGCCCTTTCATACAAAAATCAGAAATTGAAATGCTAGTTAAGGAGATGTTGGACAGTGGCATAATCAAGCATAGCAACAGCCCATTTGCATCCCTGATCCTCTTAGTCAAGAAGAAGGATGGAACATAGCGTTTCTGCGTGGATGACAAACAGCTAAACAACCTTACTGTCAAAGAAAAGTTTCCCATGCCCCTGATTGATGAATTTTTGGATGAATTGAATGGGTCAAAATTTTATTCTAAAATCGACCTCAGAAGAGGGTATCACCAAATCAGGGTTACAGAAGCTGATACCCATAAAACTGCTTTCAAGACTCACCAGGGCCTGTACGAGTTCAAAGTAATGCCCTTTGGCCTCACAAATGCCCCTGCCACCTTCCAGAGTGTCATAAATGAAGTGTTCAAGGAGCAGTTAAGGGACTATGTGTTGGTATTTTTTGACGACATCCTGGTATACAGTAAAGACATAACCTCCCATTGCCACCACCTCAGATCATATTGGAGATTCTACAAAGCCACCAATTATATGCCAAGAGGTCTAAGTGCAACTTTGGACAGACACGAGCGTAGTACTTGGGCCATATAATCAACCACCAGGGAGTATCAGCAGACCCTATCAAGGTTAAGGCAATGAGTCAATGGCCTATACCAGCTAACTTTAAACAATTAAGGGAATTTCTGGGTCTCACAGGCTATTACAGAAAGTTTGTTAAGGGCTATGGAATCATAGCCAAACCCCTCACTGATCTACTGAAGAAGGACAACTTCCATTGGACAGCAGCAGCTGATATCGCCTTTGTTGCATTGAAAAAGAGACAATGAGTTCTACCCTAGTGCAAGCTTTACCTGACTTCAGTCAACCCTTTATAATAGAAATTGATGCTTGTCAAGGTGGTATAGGTGCAGTGTTAATGCAAGGAAGGCGACCCTTGGCACACTTGAGCAAAGCTATTGGGAAAAGAAACTTGGGGTTGTCTATTTATGAGAAGGAACTACTGGACCTAGTGACTACAGTTTGTAAATGGAGACAATACTTAGAGGGCCACCATTTTGTGATAAAAACAGACCACCAGGCTTTCAAATACCTACTGGGACAAAGAATTACGACTCCTCTCCAGCAGAAATGGCTCACCAAACTTCTGGGTCTCAATTATGAAATTATCTACAAAAGGGGGTGGATAATGTAGTGGCAGATGCTCTTTCAAGGAGGCATGAAGGCAGTCTTGAATATTCAGGAATTTCGGTGGTTACCCCTGCTTGGATTGAGGAAGTCATTGAGAGTTATAAGGAAGATACGGAAGCAGAAGAAAAAATCCAATCACTGATGATAGACCCCAAGTCTGACATTGAATTCAGCTTTGAAAATGGATTGCTAAAGCACAAAGGGAAGATATTATATTGGGACTGGAGGAGACATCAGGTCCAGGTTATTCCAGAACTTACATGGCTCCCCAGAAGGAGGCCACTCTGGTATTCATAATAGCCTTTATCGAGCAAAGCAATTCTTTTTCTGGCCAAAAATGAATAGGAGATCCGACAACTAGTGCTGCAATGTGAAGTATGCCAAAGGTGCAAGGGAGAGCACATTCCCTACCCAGGACTGCTGCAACCATTACCCCAACCCTTGCACTTATAGAGCCATATCAGCATGGACTTCATCGAAGGATTACCCAACTCGGGACGGAAGAATACTATTCTGGTGGTAGTGGATCGATTCACGAAATATGGACATTTTCTGGCTATGACTCACCCTTTCACAGCTTCGACAGTGGCTCAACTTTTCCTAGACAATAACTACAAACTACATGGGATGCCCCAAAGCATAATATCTGATAGAGACAAGATCTTTACCAGCAACTTCTGGTTGGAACTTTTCCGTCTCCTAGGCACTAAGCTTCACTTCAGCTCTGCCTACCATCCTCAAACAGATGGGAAAATGCAGAGGGTCAACCAATGCTTGGAGATGTACCTGCGATGCTCAATTTATCACCATCCTAAGCTGTGGGGAAAGTGGTTGGCCTTGGCTGAATGGTGGTACAATAACACCTATCACTCTGCCATTCGAATGTCTCCATTTGAAGCCCTATATGGAATGAAAACCCCTCAGCTAGCATTGGGAACCTATCAACAATCTATTGTGGCTGCAGTGGATGACTTACTCTAAGAGAGATACAAGCTGGATCTTTAAAGAAAACCTATCACAAGCCAGGGCTCGAATGAAACACTACGCTGATAGAAATCTAACAGAAAGGTCTTTTGAGGAAGGGGACCGGGTTTTTCTTAAGCTGCACCCTTATACCCAACAATCTATCCAACACAGGGCAAATCACAAACTGGGAACTAAGTACTTTGGTCCATATCAGATCACTAAGAAAATTGGAGAAGTGGCCTATCAACTGGCTTTACCTGAAGGATCAAAAGTTTACCCTGTATTCCATGTCTCATTACTGAAGAAACAACTTGGGGATAAGATAATCACATCTATGCAACTACCTGAAAGGCATGATAATTCCCAACCAGAGAAACACCCTCTTTCCATGTTACAAACACGATCTGTGCAATGAAGAAATTAGATAGCAGAACAATGGCTTGTGCATTGGTCAGACTCTTCCCCAAAAAATGCCACCTGGGAGGATGCAAAGTGGATTAGACACCATTTCCCTGTTGATGGATCTTGGGGACAAGATTAAAGTGAGCGGGATGATTGTTATGGAAGAGCTACCTGGGGCAAGAAAGGTAGAAGAAACAAGGGGTGGAAACCAGAAGAAAGGGAGGAAGAAGAAGAGAAATAGAATTAACGACAAATTGAATGGGGACGACGTCGTTTGATACTTATCAGAAAGGTGTCATTTTGATATGCTAATTTTCATTCAATTGTAATAATTAGAAAAAACGTTTTTATTCTTCCTGTGGGGAACACACTTCTTCCTCAGCTGGGTATATATATATATATATATATATACTCAGCAGATTCACGTGAAATTTGTTATGAAATTCGGTTAGTAATGGATTGAATCTACAATTCACTTTATTCCTCATCTCTTCTCTCTCTTTTTCGTCAGAGTTATTCTTCTTGTACATCAAGTACTACATAAGGGTGTCCATTATGGACACCTGGCGCCCTCCCATTGGATGGAGTG